TAAGCTAGAGATCGACTGTTTCCAAGATAGAATAACTGAATACTGGTCTTTAGGTGAATGAATCTGCAGACCATTTTGTATCGATGATGGTTACTTTGCTCTCAACTCGCCAAGAGATTGCAAACTATCACCAAGCAATTTCCAGTCAGATCTCTCAGTTACTGGCCAGCGCAGGATCCGGGAAGTCCTTAGGTAACAATACATGGACTGCGTGCTATGAGCTCAGGGTGCGTTGAGTTTCCATAGATGTTGAACGTAAATCTTAACCCTTTGGTGATTCTACATAGCAAAGTACACGTTTGATAGCCACTCAGTGCATTATTGCTGGTGATGTACAAGCGTACACAGCCACTGCAGACAAGGAGGGAACTCAAGAACAGCTCCCCCGCTCCTTATACGCAAAAACATTGGTAATCAACTACTTCACCCCTTCTCATTTTGGTATTATCGATCCTAATCATGTGTACTGATTCTTTTTGCAGGATGCGCTCCTCAAGAACCCTTCCGAATGGAGAAAGAGAATGCTTCCAGCACGGTATGGAAAGGATCCAGACCCTGTTGACGCAAAAGAGTTCCACAAGTGGCTCAACATCATTTTGAAAGAAATACGTAAGGATTTGAATAAAATCGTAAGCAGTTTTGCCCATGGTTTTTCTCAGAATTTCTTACATTTTTGCATTGTAAAGCTCCTTAACGGTATCAACCTTCCAAACCGGGTTGGTAACAAAAGGCCATCAAAATTAATTGTACCAGACATCGATGGTATCATTGTTAAGGCAAGTACCTCATGATTTTCCTTCTATTTTATATTCCAGGCTTACATTTGAGTACCAATAGATACACGAAAGAGAACATGATTATATTGGAGGCCAGGTTCGTGTCCGTGAGCAGATTCTTGAGGCTGTGGATCATCTTCGACGAGGTCGATACGCTTGGCTGGTAAGTTGGAAATATCAATTCATTATGCAATATGTTCACCAGCTCAAATAAATGACTTGTATATGTTATGCTACAGAGAATGCAAGCCGTTCATGTGGGTCTCAACTCTGCTGATTACAGCAATAGATCTATCTGGGCTGTTGTGGATGATACATTGGAACAATTGCGCAAGAAGACACAACGCTATCGTTACGCGTAAGTATTGTATTCCAGTTTCTGATTGCATCATGGGATGTTGATTACCCCAATTATTCAACGTACAGATACTTTGTATTGGTTTTACAAAGCGACTTCGACCCATTCAATGGGGAGAAAACATTTGCGGAGATTGAAAAAACTACTGATTTTTCGTTGCCTACTGAAGAAGAAGTTGATGCCAAAGTTGAAGAGCTGAACCAGACTTTTGGACCAAGATTGTGTGTAGATGAAGGCGCTCATGAGGAGCCTGAAGATGATGAGGATCACGCTGATGAGGAAGATGAGGCTGATGAAGAGGATGTGTAAGATTGTATAATTTTTATTCTTATAGCAAGCACCTATATTTTGTATCTGTTATACACATTATTGAGGTTTGTATAAACAGTAATTTTTTTATCTTTCAAGTTCTTATTGCAAGCATCTATGTTTTGTATCTGGTATTACATTCATCACTTTTTCACTTCTACCTGCAGATTTAATTTGTATCTTTTATATTTGTTAATGTTGCAATTTTGTGTCAATACAATACTTAGTTTCACATTATTCACCACGTAATCATGAGCCTGTGAGCAAATATGGGCCAAGCAATCAAAAATTGACACCTGCAAGCTGACCAGAAAAGCGGACCAACCCAGATTTTCCTCCACTGTAACACGGTCTCAGAACCAAACCATATGCCCCGGTTCTGCCCTGGTTTGGCAGGTGCCGTTCTATACCCGTTCTTCACCACTCACAAAAATTGGTTCTACAACCGAGCCAAAACCTGGTTCAGGAACCGGGTCCGTGGGTCCGTGGTGTAGGCAGAGCCTCGAGGGGAAGAAACAACCCAAGGGGGATAAACCGCCAAGAGCCGTAACTGAAACACCGCTAAGCTGCCCTCAAATTTTGCAATGAGACACTTCTTCAAACCTTACTTCCACCCAAATAAGCTCTCCAACCTTGAATATCCAATCTGCAAGCTTTTGTTCAGTTTTTAAGAATCCCCGTAAAGGTCTTACGGTTCAAAAACAGATGTAAACAAGCTGTTTTTTACTACGTTCCCCAATGCAGTTCTCAAAAAAAACTTTCCCGCAGCAAGTAAAAAAACAAAAAAACCTTGATTTTCCTCCAAAACCTTGTTCTTCAACTTCTACTGAATTCAACACTACCCTACACGTCCTAACAGTGTTAAAACCCAGGGAATTACACTTGTAACAGTGTAATTCATCCTAATACCCTAGGTCAAAAACCCTAGGATAGCTAAGTAAAATATTGAAAATAATAAAAAAATAAAATAATAATAATCCTAAATTCAAAATCCCAAGTATAAGGGTTTTTGAATCCACCGATAACA